CCCCCAGACCCCTCTGCAAGGGGATCTCCAGTGGCCTACTAATGGGCTTTGGATCTCCACTCCACACTCCCCTCATCATTCACTATGGTAAGATTACGTAGCATTTTAGGAAACTTTTGTGTTTGTCCTGTCCTTTGAGAAAATCTATCAAGATTACCCCTCTGGAATTAAAGCAAAACTCAAAACACCAGTCGCCATAACCTTCTGGGTGGACCTCTCGACCTTGAATGTAATTGGTCTAGTCGAGCCCCTTGGAAGCCACTGTTTTGATTGGCTCTTTCTGAAGCACCCTAAGGAGACGCTGACAAGTGCATCGCTCAGAGAGCGTCGCGGCATAGCAGGGATATGTTTAAGCATGTTTTGTTTGGAATAAATTTGTGCATGTGTGAATGGGAACCTTAGCAGCAACACTTCTGACTGACCCTCGTCTTCTTAGAATTTACTCTCCGGCAAACTCTAGATGCTCTCACCCTCCTCTCTGTACTTCAATCTGCACATTAAACCGAACTCTCCTTCTGCCTTGCTTTAAAGAGTTTGATCTTATACTGTCCTGTGCGCTATGCATCTTAAAGGCCCTTCAGTCCACAGCCCCCTTTGACACAGAATCAGAGAGAAAACAAGAATGGATTCTGGGAATAAGTACAATGTAGGAGAGAATAAAGGAAGCAACACTACATTGTGAACGCTAAAGCCTATCTGTAAAAATAATGATCAACCTGAGGTTGCCGGATTCCAATCAAAATGTGTAGAAGGCAACAGGATTCCTGGTGGTATCGTGGTTAAGTGCTCAGCAGCTAAAGGAAAGGTTTGGAGGTTTGAATACCCCAGAAGTCGTGGGAGAAGGATGTGAGGCTGCTTCTGTAGGGCATTAGCACTCTCATGCCAGAGCTCTACTCTGTCCAATGGAACTGTTCTGGGTCAGACTAGATGCAATAGCAGTGGGTTCTGAAGTCAAACTAGTACTTACATCACTAGCAATATCTCCGGAAGCTTTGGCCAGCTGTACAGAAATTGCATCAACTGGGAGATCATAGCCTTTCTTCAAAGCTTCTTCCCATCCAAGTTTATAGAGTTTCTGAAAATTAACAACATTTTCATGACTGCCATTACTTCCAGAGTAAGCAAACATTAAGCAAAAATCTATTTGGAGAGTAGACACCAGATTCTAAGTTTTTACTTTATCTTTAAAGATACCGAAAACAGAACAAAACCGACCACCAGCAAAAACAGCAAACTGGTTGGATGAGTCGAAGAAGCACTGACTCACCCTCATGTGACCCGGCTTTATTTTCACTTTTGCCTCTGAGACTGCCTGCGTGAGCATGGGCCTGCCTGTCCAGAAACAACAGGGCCACGGGAGGGACTTTCCCTATTCTTAAGTACAGTCTGGCCTCACTATTTTAAACATAAAAAAATGGATTCTTAAAAAGCAGGCCACAATGTTTTATTTATATAAGCAATAAAAGTAATGGGTGATGAATTTCCTTTTACGAGTTTCAGTGAATGAGTGAACCTTTCTGAGTCCAATCCATTGAAAGGATGTACTGTGTGAAAACCAGCTAATCTTTACCAAGCCAGGCATGGTGCTGAGAGACTTGTTTGGAATTTCTCATTTTAGTCCTTGCAAATCCAAGATCACGGGCATTTTATAATTCTAGTTTTATAGATGAGAAAATTAAAGTTTTGACAAGTAGGCGATATGCTCGACATCTCATCACTCTTACATAGCAAAGTCAATACTCATGCTTCATTTGTTCGATGCATTTTTTTCTTCCATGCACAATGAATACTGTGATGAAGAAGTTCCCGAGCTTGCCTCCAGAGGGCGCACATCCACAGCAAAGGTCCTTTCCTTACCTAACCACACTGGGCCATTCTTTGTTTCAGTTTTATCTCAGTTGTTTGTCATTGCATCAATTAATCAATTCAATTAATTTCAAGTTAAAATGCAAAGTGGTGTTTTTTACATAGCTTACCTGACTGTATAGCGTTTGATTCTGCTTCGCCTGTAAAATATCTGGTGTATCTGGCATAACGTGAATCTTGGTTTTATCTTTATTCCAATCAATGGTATATAAATGCTGGGAAGTTAAAAAAAAAAAAACAGTTGAAATTTGAATAGCTATTTAGGACAAAGAAAGGGTAAACACACATATATATTTATATCTAGATATGTTTATGGACAGCAATTAAATGTACTCAATCATAAGTATAAGAATTATATTAGGAGCAAAAGCAGCATATGACTCAGGAGAGACACCAGACAGTCATTCAGAATTTTACAAATTACCTTTTAAACCTTTTTCACCTTCTAGAATGTATTGAAAGTATTAGAGGCAGGGCAATAAAACTATAAATACATTTCAACTTCACCGGCCGAAACCATTAGAAATGGGCAGGAGGAGAAAATGGCATGGGGGTGCTTTGGAGCTGGGACGCAGCTGAGGGGTCACAGACCCAGATCTCAGCTGTCAAACCAGAGCCAGAGCTTGCTGCCCCCACCTCACGTGGCAGCCATGTGAAAGCGCAGCTGTCCGGCCTACCCTGTTCATGGTGTGAGCGTTCTGCTTGGCAAGCACCATGTCCATGGAGTCGGTCAGCTTCTTAAACTGGAAGGTGCTAGGGTGCTGCCGGTATTTCTGGTCACTTGCATATTCGGTTGCCTTCTTGGCCTTCTCCACTTCTAGAGAACCAGCTGGACTCCAGCCAAGCCCTTTGTACCATTCATTGTAGTCCTGCTTATAGTCATTCTACAGAGAGAGGAGGTACATTCTACGTCATCTTATCACATTAGACACGAAAGTTATTTCTCAGCTGGGACAGAGGACGCCCCATCTCCCCTCCCATAATAGGAATCCAACCAACACCCCGAAAGAAAAGACACTTACATCGCTCTGTATGTGCTTCATATGCCTGCTCTGCTCAATGGTCATTGCGTCTGGAAGGAGGATGTACTTGTGAATCAGGCGCTTGTAGTTAGTGTTGCTGATGTTGGCTTGGGCATCCTTGGCAGCCATGACACTAAGCATGTCCGCAGGAGTATGGTAACTGGTCTTTGTCTTCTCATAGTTTTTCTTGTACTCCCGGTCAGACTGCATCTTACCCACTTGCATGGAATGGACTAATTTGGGGTCATCCTCAAGACTGCGGAAACCAACCATTTTCCCCCTCTCCTTTTCATAATTGTACTTGTATTTATGCTGGGAAGAAAATTTGAATAGGCATTCAGTGTGATTGTCTTTAGAAGTCATGCTCGTGTCAATATTCTGTACTTCATAATAAGTGATATTCATAGAGAGCTCTAGGGTTCATGAAACATGGTTTTCACATTTATCTGTGTAACTACTTTGTGAGGTGAAGAACAAATTTATTAATGTTGTTCCCGTTTTATAAATAAATAAACGGAGAACCAGAGAGGACAGTGGCTTGCTAAAACCATTAAGGATTACACTCCGGTTCTTTGGGTCAGATCATGCTGACTTACAATTATGCTGTTAGTGTTGAAGAGACAACTAGTATGTAATAAGAGTAAGTGACCAAAAGAAATGGGATATTCTAATTGATGTCCTGAGAAATCATCCAGTTAGTCACTTACTACTGAGAATAAGCTCAATTGTGAGATACACAGTTAATTTAGAGTACCTGCATATTCGTAGGACTCTTTTTCTTTTACTATTCTAAACTGGCATAGTAGGTAAGAAAGTTTTGTGTTTATCAACCACAACTTCCCTCAACAGATGGGAGATCTTGGTACATGAAGAGACCTCTTATTCTAGCTTATCTCCTTGTCGGTTTAGTTGTGTAAGTTAGGAGACAGACACTAGGAGAGCCGAATTATTCCGGCGTAGGAGAAGGAGAAGAATTTGGAGCAGTCAGGATAGTGTGGGAGTGGAAGTGGGTTCAATGGCTAAATGTTCTTACAAGTTAGGTTAGAAAGATAGGGTAGGTGAAAAGCAGAGATTAACAACATGAGAGAAAGGAACTGGGGAGTGGCCAAGGGTAAAGGGTTCTAAAATGTGAAAAGGTGCTCCTTCCATGATCCCTAAGTTACCATAAAGTATTTCTTGTGAAAATAACTCAATGAAATAACTGAGTTTTATATGGGTGGTATGTTCAGGGCAGTGGTATGCTGATACATCAGTTCTCTGGGGAGAAAAAAAATCCTAATTTGTGATGTCTGCCGATTTCTGTAGTGTAAAAATTCCGAGGAGGTGATGTCAAAAGACTAATGGTTTAGCAACTTGCAAAGCGTCCAGTTACTTAACCATCAAATTCCATGAGTCTAAATGAGCAGACGCTAGCAATTCAATGCATGAGCAATCTATGGGGCAGTGGGCAAGACCACCACCAGACTTTCACTAAGAAAACTTGACAAAGGTCTTTGGGTTTCTATAGGTCAAAACTGTGGTGATAGAGTTCAAAGTATTTTTTCTCGATCTGGTGAGTCAGGGACCTGGTGTTGATGAAGGCTATAATGTGGTGAGTTATCTGTTTGATCAGAAATACCAGAGAAAGCATAGAAACAAAGCTAAAAACAGGTCATGGGGAGCATGAGGCTCTTGCTAGCAGGCATGCTTTTTCATGCCCATGAATTGTTTGCAGAACTTAGCCTTTATTATTATTTTGGTTGACTGCAACCCACAGCCAGACGACTACTTTCGGTAGACTCACATCACTTGCAATGTCTCTTGATGCTTTGGCAGCTTTGATAGGAATTGCATCGGTTCTGAGATCGTAGCCTTTCTTTCTAGATTCTTCTAAAGAGAGTTTGTAGAGTTTCTGTAGAGAGAGGAAAAGGGAATGGTTTCTTCTAAATAGGAAAGCAAGGGCAGGTTCTACAACAGTGAATTCCTTGCTGTATTTCAGCAGAAAGCTGCATCGCTGCTCAGTGGCTAAAGGTTCTCACATGTAACCAAACTGTGCTTGAAACAACCCCCCAACCCCCGCAATATTATAAATTCAAACGTGCCTTTAAGAAACCACCCAAAAAAATGAAATAAAATTTCTGGTTTCTAATTCAGGAGCGCTGGGGGCATAGTGTCATGAGTTGGCAGTTCAAAACCACCAGCAGCTCCGCAGGAGGGAGACTGGGCTTTCTACTCCTGTAATCTGTTACACTTCTTGGAAACTAAGAGGGTCCCTGTGAGTCAGCACTGACTCAGTAGGAGTGACTTTGGTTTTATTTGGTTTATTCAGTTGTAAATACATTTTTAAAATGTAAGTTTATGGGGCTCTTTTTCTTTTAATACTCTTTCAACTGACATAATGGGTAAGAAATTTTAAAAAGTCATTTTATTAGGGGCTCATACAACTCTTATCACAATCCATACATCCATCCATTGTGTAGAGCACATTTGTACAGTCATTGCCCTCATCATTCTTAAAACATTTGCTCTTCACTTAAGGCCCTGGCATCAGCTCCTCATTTTTAGAAATTTTTCTATTTATCACTCCACCTTCCCTCGACAGAGGGGAGATCCTGATACAGGGCGAACATTTCACATTTTATCCAAAGAATTAAGGGAAGACTAAAAAATGCCCAGATTTTTTTTTTTAAATGCCCAGATTTTTATATCAAGAGAAAACTTCACTTTTTACAAAGGATGCCTTTATTTGTATAATTAATTTTGGGTTCTACCATCTAGAAAAATCAACAATTCCCGAAGTCAGGAAAATTCAAATCATGAAAAGAAAAGAAAAAAATGGACAAGATGGGAGGATTTCTTCACAACTGTAGCTAAGGTGAGAAGTAAAATGAAGCCTCTGTGCATTTTCTAACCAGTGAAGCACGTTGCTTCTCGTGAGGCCTGCCAAGAATTCTCTCGAGGTCCCTCTCCGTAACTTTGCAAAGCATCGCTACAGAAAAGGTCCTGGTATCCTCACTTCCTTTTATTTGCTTATTTACTTATCTAAAACCATTTTCATTGGGGCATAATCCATATACCAAAGAATTCAATAATTCAGTTACGTCAAGAAGAGTTGTACAATCTTTGCCACAATCAATTCCAGAACATGTTCTTCTTTCTTGTACTTCCTGTTGTTGGCTCCCATTTCCCCCATCCTCTCCTATCACACACCCCCTCCCACAAATCATCAATCCAGTTACTGTCCTTTATCTCTTCTTTATTTCCCCAGGCTCTTCTCTTCCTGCCCAATCTCTTGATTAGCATAAAGCACATAACCCGGAAGCAAAATGCAACCGTCTTTCAAACTTCGACCTGCTCAGCCCAACCTCCACTGACAAAAACACTCCAACTCTCAGCAAAGTGAGAGTAAAAAGAAAGGTTTTCACGTGTGGATGCCAACAAATTCTTTGAAAACGTTCATTTTCACAACTGAGAGGGCGGTTTAAAAGGAAGACGGTAACAGGGACATTATACTTACATCGCTCATATTAATAGCGTTTGCCTTTGCCAGAAGGATCTGGGGGCTGTCAGGCGTGACGTGGACTCTGGTCTTGTCTGCCTCCCAGGCTTGTTTGTACAGGCGCTGCAAAGTCAAAAAAGTGAGTGGAAATGGGATAGCAGCAGTCTAAACTCTCGAAAGGCGTCTATTTAATATAAATCTTTGTACATGTGTCATTATTTTATATATTTTAATGCTCTTTTTAATATACAGATGACTGTTGCTTAATGTCCATAATGTTCAATGTCTGTGAAATGAGACAGGTGATTTCAAAATGGTGGGCAGCAGGGGGCATCCCAATTCCCGCAAGGCTGTTCCTTACCCTGTGCCTTTCCCCATGGCTGGGTTGCTATCGACTCTGTAGCGCAGAATTTCTGTGAGTCAGAATTCACTCGATGGCGATGCGAGCTTCCTCGGCCCCTACTTTATTCAATGGCCCAGCTGCCTGGCAGCCTCTCTTTCAGCCTCAGGGCAGCACAGGCAGCTACGCCTCTGATCCTGCTAATGGCGCACTGGTGGCCCTAGTTCTCGCCAGAGGCAATGGCGGCAGTGGTGGTGACCCCAATGGCATAGGATCAGGAAGGAGTTGCAACAATAGGTTAGCCATAACCTGGGTCGCAGCCACCAGCCACACTCCCAGCACCCACAGATTGCTCCCCACCTGATCCGTGGGGCCACCTCTCCACACCCCCTTACCTCCTCCAGTCCAGATGTGCACAAAGTCCTGATCTGGCTGCCAGCTCAACCCCCAAGAAGCCCATTTATACACTCAAGGAAAGTTGAAAAACTTTATGTGAGCACAGAGCCTCCTTTTTCTCTCGCAGAGCGGCTGGTGAGTTTGAACCAAAGACCATGGGGTTAGCACTCCAACGCTCACCCAACAGTGCAACTAGGGCTCCTTTTAAAGTTATTAAAGGAAAATAATAAAAGGAGAATGGTTTTCCTTTAAAACACAAAAAAACAGTAACGTCTATCCAGTTGGACTTCCCTGATACTTAGATATTCATATCTGTGTTTTTATTAGGTAGGAGTTGTTGTAGCTTTTATTTAGAAATGGAAAATGTGCTTTCAAACAATTTAATTGAGAGGTTATTAGATGAAAAACAAAAGTGTCCTAATCACCCACTTTACAGTCGGACAATAGCTTCTCCATCCCCAAATTGTCTATGTTTATTAAACCCATTTAGGTCATTTAAAATGTAAATGAAGTAATTATAATACATAGCATTCTACATTTGGCTTTTTAAATTTACCGTTATAAATTACACACCATCAAACCTTATTAAAATGACATACTTCATTAATTTAAACAGCTGTATACTATTCCATTAGGAGGTATGCCCTAATCGATTTAACTAGCCCTGTATTGATAGACAAGGAGCTCTGGTAGCATTGTCCATGTCAGACTGCTAACCTCATGCTAGGGGTTCAAGCCCACCATCCACTGCATGGCAGAGAGCTGAGGCTATCTGCCCCCATAGTGATTTACAGCTCCAGATCCGTTTATAGGATCACTGTGCGTCCACATCTACTGAGGACTGTGGGGTTTTAGAGACATTTTGTCCTTTCCCATCTTTTTCTCCTACAGGCAGTGATGCCACCTTCCCTGTGTAGACGTGAAGATGGAAAAACGTGTCCCAACTATTGCCAGAGACTCGGTTGTGAATTCCTTTGTGACTGGCTGCTTTGTTCAGGGCATGCCCTTCCCACGGTGGTCTTATCTAAATCTTGATCAAAGAGGGAGTATAACTGCCTGGCCATTTCAGCCCAGTGTTGGGACACAAGGACAGACTTTCTACCCTGAAGAGCTCTCATGGGATTGGGCCTGCAACACAGTTGGTTTTCTCCCTCAGATCAATGCTGCTTTCGCAGGATGCCCAAGAAAATGCCTTGGACTCTGAAGTCCATCTAAGTTATCTCCTTCCAGAGACCTTAAAGTGCAGCAAATAATGTGTACAGATGTATGTTTTTGTACACTTTTGGGAAGGTATTCTATGGAAACCCTACACAGGGTCATCACATGTCAGAATTGACTCATTGGCTAGTGGTGGTACTATTGAATATGCCAACTCTAGGTATCAGAGTCCTGGTTCTTTGTGACTTTAGGGAGGTCACCTTGCTTCTCCAGGCTAGTTTCCTCAGCTCTGCAAGAAGTGGGATTTGGCTTTCTCATTGCCCAGCTGTCTCTCAGTGCTACAGATCCTACTCCTAGTGTTCTCATTTTTGCACCATGATCCTGAAGTTACAATCATTAAAAATGAAAGAATGGGAAACTTTTGCTTTATTAGTGAAAAAGAACACTTGTAATGGTTTCGCTTCTAAATCTGGCATAGAGATTTGCACCTTGTCTCTTTTTTTTTTGTGAATAATCTATGAACACGTTTAATTATGTCACAAAACAAGAGGCCTGCTCAAGACACACACACCCCTTCCCGTTGCCATCCTCAGAATGTTGTCCTATTGTAGGCCCCTTGCCTCATGGCCCCAGATGGCTGCGTGCATCTTCACACATTCAAAGCAGAAGGAGGATGTTCCTTCTCAAAGACAACTAGCAGACTTCCTCTCAGCGCTCGTTGGTTAGACCAGTCAGGGCTGGGTCATGGCCCACATAGAATGAGGTCATATTCTTGCTTTAGATCAGTTATAGGTCATTTCTTGGCTTGGAGAGCCCCTGAGTAGGCCAGATGGTTAAGTGCTTGACTACCAATCAAGAGGTTGCTTTGAACATACCCAGGGGCACGTTGGAATTCAGGTCAGGCAATCTGCCTCCAAGCAATCACAGCCTCTTGAAAACCAGTATACCTACACTGCACACACAGGATCACCATGAGTTGAAATAAAATTGATGACAATCAACAACAATGCCTTCCCTAGACGGCAGCCCCCTTCTCTTAAAATATTGATGCTAGGAAAAACTCAGCCTACATTCCCATTGCCATTAAGTGGATTCCAAATTATAGCAATCCTATAGGACAGACGAGAACTGGACCTGACTCCCTTGGCTATAAATCTGTATAGAAGGAGACTGCCAGCCACATCTTTCTTCTACAGAGCAGCTGGTGAGCTGAGCACTTTAACCATTGTACCAACAGGGCTCCTCGAAAAAAAAAAACCCCAAGGTTCTTTATTTTGAAGCCAGTCTTATCAAAATCTCTAGCAGTTTTCTGTGTTAGGAGGCTCCTGCGGATGTCTTGGAGACCCAACATATAACTTATCATTCCAGTGCACATCATTTTCTGCAACTGTCTAATGTCAAGGTTCATTCCCACCTCCTCTCTGTTAACCAAAGACATTTCTAATCATCGTCCACACAATATAACCAGTGCTGCTGTAAGAATGTTATTGTTTAAAACTTTAAAACAGACCTCCAAAGCCCATGTTGTTTATGGCATTATCTCATGGTGGATCTATGTAAAACTTCAGTAAAGCACTTCTAAAAGCTAGAACAGTTAATGATCCAGGAAACTGCTTGTCTACAATTGCTCTTGTGACTACCCAGAAAAATCTCTTGTTCAGAATGCACTCTTGTTACGTACTCTGGGGAATTCTCTGGAATCTCATCAAAGCAGTGAGGCATCAGGGATGGGGTGCAACACCCAATTGGTTTTAGCAGGATATCCTGCTGATTCAGCTTCATGAGTTATTACTAAACCTGACCAGAGAAAGACTTATTTTTAAAGGTATACATTAAAAGAAAACCAAAATCCATTGCTGTGAAACCGATTTTGACTCATAGTGACCCCATAGGATAGAGAGACTCCCCACAGAGTTTGCAAGGCTGTCTTTCTTTACGGAAGCAGACTGCCACATCTTTCTCCCTGGGACCAACGGACAGGTTTGAACTGTCAGTCTCTCAATTAGTAGTCAAGTACATTACCACTGTACCACCAAGGGTCCTTATTAAAAAAGAGGGGATCCAATTTATTCTTTTCCCTCTGTAAGACAGAAAGGTCCTCAGATAAAACACTCATCTGCCAACCTGCAGGTTGGCAGTTTGAACCTGGCCAGCTGTGCCACGGCAAAGGCCCTGGGGATCTTCTCCCGTAAGGAGCACAGCCAAGAAGCCCCGACGGAGCCATCCCACTGGCTTTACCACCCTGGGGCACCAGGAGTCAGAATTTGACTTGATGGTAATGAGTTTGCTCTTTTTACGTTTATGAGGTTGGAGGGTTCCTTGAACATTTTGGGGGGTGGGGGTGTCATTCGTCATGAATATTTTATCTTAAAAAAAATTTTTTAACAAGGACCACTGCTGAAAGTAAACCTTGATATGCTTTATATGAGAAGGCTTCAAAAAGCTCGTGGGAAATTCCATTGTCTTGTAATTCCATCCCCCCCCCCCCCCTGCCAAATTTTCTGCAGCCTCTGGGAGCATGTGTACTGCCAAAGAAAACACTGGGTTAGCGAAATCTTTAGAGTCAGTGTAAGCTGTGCCGGGATTCTCCCCGATGCCCAAGGGACTGGAAGACTTACTTCATTCATGATTTTGGCATTATTCTGGGCCAGAACCATGCTCATTGAGTCCATCAGTGTGGAATATTTCAGCTTGTCTGGGTGCTGCCGGTACTTCTTATCACTAATGATCTCCATGGCTTTCTTGTTTTTCTCGGCCTCCAGGGAGCCCAGAGGGAGCCACCCAATGCCCCTCATGAAGTCGGCATAGTCAGCTTTGTACTGATTCTGCCGAGAAGGGAACAGGGGGAGACATAACCAAAGCGGCCAAGAAATGAGAGAGAATTTACCATTCCATAATGCCCACTTCAGCTTTCAACCAATCATACCACGGTAATGAACTTCAACCATTTTTAAGCTGTACTTTTTATCCTTTGGGGCATTTCTTTGCCTGAGAAATTGAATTTGTTCTCGTGTGTCCATAAAGAAAAAGGGCTAAGAAACACCAAAGAGGCTAATCTGCCATAGACCGTCTCCTTGGGACTGTGCTGGCCTCGTTTTCTACGCACATTCCCCAGCCCTTAGATGAACGGAGGACTTAGGAAAACTCCTTTCTTCTCTTCTCCTGCATTTCATCGCTCACCACTGTCTGCTCCTTTGGATGCACCAGAAATCTTCCTGGGACTTTGGCCGTCTGCTGTTCCTCAGCTCTGGCACGCCCTCTAAAATAATACTGTGCTCACTTTCATTGAATACTTAAACACCTGTATGGCACTTAATAACTCAGTGTTATTCCCAAAGAGAAAGATAGGCTTGGTATGGCTTTTAATTTCATTTGATTTGGTTTTGAATTTAAAATACACTTTCTCACTGGACACCAAGTGGATTCTAGAGTGGAATTGTTGATTTTCAACTCCTTCTTTCTTCCTCATATTTATTCTAAAAGCTGCCTCATTTATTACCTCTCAATATTTCACCAGTAAGTAAGACAGGCAAAGTCGGAAGTACCACAAGATAAAAATGGATTGAGTGTGAGGGGCAGGGGCTTTTAAGCTTTCCCGTTTACTCCTCCGTGAAGACCCTTTTATATTTCGCACACTGCTCCCCATAAGCGTACTTCCTTCTACATGTTCTTTCTCAAGGCAAAGTTCATTTGCTACTCCTAAATTCTGACTTCCACACTCACAGTGACAAAAGGAGAAAATCAGACTTTAGTTTCTAGAATGGATGCTCTTTAGTTAAAAAATAATAATAATAAATTCCCTCTATAGCACTAAATATAACACCTTGTGGGAAACTGTACCCACAGCCCTCTCAGGAATGTACATTTCTCGTGAGCTATAGTCATTCCTGGTTGGCTTCCTATGCATACAGCAAGTGCTCTTCAAATACTGTGGCTCTTACGTACATCACTTTGAATCTGCATCATATTTTTGGCCAGTTCAAAGCTCATGGCGTCGGGAAGCAGGTTGTAGGTGTGGATCACATTTCTGTAGTGGGCATTGGTAGCCACTTCCTGGGATTTCTTGGCGGCCACCACACTGAACATGTCCACTGGGGTGTGGAAGGATGTCTTGGATTTCTCATAGCCCTTCTTGTACTCGCGATCTGACTGCATCTTGGCCACCTGCATGAAGTGCACTAGCTTGGGGTCGTCCTCTAGGCTCCGGAAGCCAATGTGTTTCCCTTTGGCTTGTTCATAGGCTTGCTTGTATTTGTACTGTGCACAGAGGAGAAGGCGTGGCAGTGAACATGGTAAAGGAAAGAAAACACAGTATCATTCACGAGACCTCTTCAGTGTTTAAGAAAAAAAAAACAAAACATGTTGAAAACGGCTTCAACATTGGAAAGGAAGTTGTTCCCAAGCAGCCAGAAACCCAAGTGTTTTACTTCCGGTTTCTTCACTGCACAGTAGTGCAGGAAAACAAATGGTCTCAGCAAACCCAAGAGACAGGCATCTTTCCTCACGCAATTATCCAAGAAGCACCTTAAATTTAGAAAAGAGCCTGGCCATGTGTCCCCTCTGTCAACCATGCACATTTGTGTCCCCAGGAGCCCTGGTGATGTAGTGCTTACCAGTTGGGCTGCAGTCCCCATGGTCAGCAGTTCAAAACCACCAGAAGCTCATAGGATAAAAAGACTCAGCTTTCTACTCCCATAAAGAGTTACAGTCTCAGAAACCCACAGGGGGTCACTATGAGTCAGCATCAACTGGGTGGCAATAATTAGGTTTGTTTAGAATTCCCAAGAAAGGATTTGAATAATCCAAACCCTGGTTCCTGAGAACCTACCAGCTTGACCTAGTTGTGCACATTTGCTCAGCCTCAGGGAGGCCCAGCAGAACCACTCACGTCACTGGCGATGTCTCTTGAGGCTCTTGCAGCCTTTATTGAAATAGCATCCGGTCTCAGGTCATATCCTTTCTTCTTCTCTTCTTCCCAGCCAGCTTTGTACAGTTTCTGAAAGATGGAATAGGAAAACAACAGCGCCTGTTTACTCCCAAGGACCATGTACAAGCCTGGCATTCCATAACGCTCAGCCCCGACCAAGGGTCTCCTCTGTGTTTGCTCCGGTCGCGCATTTACTTACATCGCTCATGGTGATTTGGTTTACTTTGGAGAGTAAAATATCTGGAGTATCAGGCATGACATGAATGGTGGTCTTGTCTTTGTTCCATTTTTCAGTGTACAGTCTCTGCAACAAGAAGACCGGGTAGATGATTTCGAAGCAGGACGAGTCTGCAAAAATGCCACTTAGTAAAAGGGATTCCATGTCCTCATGGCCAAGGAGGTTATGTCAAATATCAGAAGGGGGACGGGGAGGAAGCCTTTAGGAACTAGAGGAAAGTTGTATGTTTCATCGTTGCTACACTGCACCCTGACTGGCTCGTCTTGCCCCGCCCCCTCCACTATTGTGATCCCAATTCTACCTTACAAAACTGGCTAGACCAGAGGATGTACACTGGTTCAGATATGAACTGGAAACACAGGGAATCCAGGACAGATGATCCCTTCAGGACCAGTGCCGAGAATGGCGATACTGGCAGGGTGGAAGGAGGG